ACTCAAGCTGGCGAGCCACTTAGGTTGCTTAAAGAACTCTGACTAGCGTCTGCTAATCCTTCTTTTCCCCAAATAGATCACTTTTTAAACAAATTGAAACTATCAAACAGTGTATCATCAGGCTATTAAGAGATGTCATTGGAAAACACTGACATATAGTCCAAATTTTCTAATGTTTCTACAACTAACAGATTAGTCAGATTTATAGGATAGAAATTATAAGCAGCAAGAGAGAAAATTGTTGCCTAAAATATACATTGGTTTGGAAGGTTTTTTTTTTTAATTATTCAATTCTAGATTTTTTTTAAAAAGAATTCCAGCCTATTCATTTCTTTAGCCATTTGCTGTATATTTTGAGCCACCTTCATAGGAAGAGTGGGGCATCCACGTCCTGTCATACAGCACAGTGATCAGTTCACAGCAGTTCACAGTCAGGACTCACTGGTCCCAAGCCATAATTATAAAGTTCAGGAATCTCCAAGCCTTTTTTCTAAACGATCTGTCTCCTCTCTGCAAATGTGGGAAGGTCACTGTTGAAAGGAGTAAGTCACTCCTTCACGTTTCTGGAAGACCATTTAGAGGCCTTCCTTGAGGACAGGAATTTTGCCAAGATGGAGAGTGAGGATTGAACCAGCACCCACAGGGACCTGGTTAGGGCTTTACCAAATTTGGGACCCCACAATCTCCTCTAATATCTTGGGGTTGAAACAGAAGAGAAAGGGATTTTGAAATGTGTGAAGAAATTGAGCTCTAACGTAGGTTTCCATAAAACCAGGCCGATTCGGCTACGCATATCAACTATAGGCACTAAAACCAGTGCCACACAGTAGTTAAAAGAGGTAGCTGATTTGTGTGTAAAAGATATTCTGGTCGTGATGCTTGGACTCTGAGTAGGTGGAGGCCTAGCCCTTTTAAGGCCTGGTAAAGCTGTATCAGCTGATGGGTCAGAGTATGTGAGCCCCATCCGTCACACCCTTCCTCTGAGGAGCAGAGATGCCTTATCAGATTCAACTCAGATATTCAAATGAATGTCTTAAGGTAACAAGTAGGTCATGAAATGCCAGTGACTTATTATTCTTGGATACTACCCAAAAGTTAAAAGGATTCTGATAAATTTAGATGTTTGTTTTATCACAGGGAGTGTTAAATCAACTTCCTTTCCCAGACACTACATATCTACTTAGTGTGCTTCTCTGCATTTAAAGAATTTAGGGACCATCGTAAGGTATGAGTATGGAATAGAGACATTTTCCTCCATTAGATTTTATTTCTAAGAAGAAAATATCCCGTTAGATATAATTTGGCTTCTCATTTATTAGTTAACTCAGCAAAGCAAAAGAACATTTCCATAGCTATTCAAAATTGAGGCCAAATGTGGATCTCTATTATCAAATTGCAATCAAATTGTAAATGATTTTTTTAAAAAAACTCTTCCCCCACAAAAAAGCATGATGTATGTACCTCTGAAGAAAGTTTTGCATTATATTCAGTTTTCCCATGAGAACTGTGTACCTAATAAGAGGTTAAAAGCAGAGTAATTAAAGAGGTAAATTAGTTTGTTTAAAGAGCCTAAGCTATTTTTTTCTTGGAAAAGGATTAGCAGCAATAGTTCACAGCATTTTGATTTTGCAATTTTGGAGAATACTTTGCCTTATAGCTTTTAAAATCCAAAACTTATAAAAAATTATTTGATATAGTTATGAGAGTATTAACTAAATGTAAATGTATAAACCTCTCTTTACCTATGTATCATTATGAATCAAATGAGAGTCAAATTCTGGACCTATTAAATTCATTAAGTGTATAACCTTTTTGACTCTAATGGTTAAACCTTTAAATTACTACCAGATCATGCTATTAGCTGAAAAGGTTCTATTGTGTTTTTGGCAAACAATATTATCAGAAAGATGTATGAATTATGCAAAAGAAGTAGGCGTATTTGCTACATCAGTTACTACTTATACATGATTTTGTCAGCTGTCTCCGGAAAGCTACGTTCAGCTCGCTTTAGAATTAGATCTTTTTCTCTAGCGTTGAAGCTACATGTATTAACAATCGGCCTCTAGATTAAAACACACTAACTGCTTTCTCCTTGCTGTGCTGTCTGATGCTTACTGACATGCTCTCCTCTCTTTGTGAACCTTTTAACTTCTCCAAATGTCTCTCTTCTACCACGCTGCTCTGGATTAAAAGGTGGGGATGATAGCAAAATGTGTCCATCCCTTTGCAGTTACTCAGGGCTCAACGGCAACCCCCCAAGTGAGTTAGATTACGGTAGCACTTATAGACAGCACTTGGACGTCCCTCGGGACTCACCAAGGGCCATTACTTTCAAGAATGGCTGGCAAATGGCCCGGCAAAACGCAGAAATCTGGAGCAGCACGGAAGAAACCGTTTCTCCCAAAATCAAATCCCGTAGCTGTGACGATCTCCTAAATGATGACTGCGATAGCTTCCCGGACCCGAAAATTAAGTCGGAAAGCATGGGCTCCCTGTTATGTGACGAGGACTCCAAGGAGAGCTGCGCCATCACCTGGGGGTCCCCCTACATCCAGGAGGTTCGCGGTAACGGCAGATCGAGGATCAGACACCGGTCAGCTCACAACGCCCCGGGGTTCCTGAAAATGTACAAGAAAATGCACCGCATTAACCGCAAGGATCTGATGAATTCCGAGGTGATCTGCTCCGTGAAGTCCAGGATCCTGCAGTATGAGAACGAGCAGCAGCCCAAGGGCCTGGGGCACGCGTGGAGCCAGTCCTCCACGGAGGAGGTGCCCCGCGACATGGTGCCCACGCGCATTTCCGAATTCGAAAAGCTGATTCAGAAGTCCAAATCCATGCCCAACTTAGGGGATGACACGCTCTCTCCCGTGACCCTGGAACCGCCACAGAACGGCTTATGTCCCAAGAGGCGATTCTCCATCGAGTATTTGCTGGAGGACGAGGACGAAGGCGGGCGCCCCGCTCAGGCCCCGCGGGGCTGCGCGTCCAGCGCACTGGTGCCCATTCACATCGAGGTCACCAGCCACGAGCAGCCCCGGGCCCACGTGGAGTTTTCCGACAGCGACCAGGACGGGGTCGTGTCTGACCACAGCGACTACATTCACGTGGAGGGGTCATCGTTCTGCAGCGAGAGCGACTTCGATCACTTTTCCTTCACCTCCTCTGAAAGCTTCTACGGATCCAGCCATCACCACCACCACCACCACCACCACCACCGGCACCTCATCAGCTCCTGCAAGGGCAGGTGCCCGGCCTCCTACACCCGATTTACCACGATGCTGAAACACGAAAGGGCCAGACACGAAAACACGGAGGAGCCCCGCAGGCCGGAGATGGACCCCGGCCTTTCCAAGCTCGCCTTTCTGGTCAGCCCGGTGCCTTTCCGGAGGAAAAGAAACGCAGCTCCTAAGAAACAGACGGAAAAGGCGCCGTGCAAGGCGTCCGTGATCGAGGCGCTCGACTGCGCCCTGAAGGACATCTGTGACCAGATCAAGGCGGAGAAGACGCGGGGGAGCCTGCCGGGCAACAGCATCCTGCACCGCCTCATCAGCGAGCTGCTGCCGGACGTGCCCGAGCGGAACTCGTCCCTGGGCGCGCTGAGGAGGGGCCCCCTGCACCTGCCTCTCCGCCCGCCGCCCCAGGACGGTGCTATCCACTGCCCACCCTACCACAACGATGGCGGGAGAACGCCTCACAGTGCCTCTTTCCAGGACGCGGACACAGCCAGCAGCAACCACCACCACCAAGACCGTGGCGGTGCACTCCAAGGTGGATGAGCTTTTCTTTCTTTTTCCTTGGGGTTCAGAGACCCGCCCTCCAGCTCTTTCATTTCCCATTCCAACATCTCATCACTCCCGAGCTGGGAGACCATTGGGCATCGTTATGTGTTGTGAAGCAGAAACTTGTGCAAACGTGTGAATATGTCTCATTTGCCCACGTGCTCGTCGGGCTTCATGTGTGGCTTAAAGTGATCATCAGTTCACAAAAATTTACCCTCAAAAGCGACAGGGAAGGCCATTTCGTAGCCTAGTATTAGGGTTGGCACAACCGTTACTCACACTGAGACAACAAATTATGCTGGAACGTGAATCAAAACACATAGTCTCACAAATAGCCCTTTGAGAATTTTCATATTAACTTTAAAACTTTATATTCATTAATTAATAAATAATTGGCTCACATTCTCTATAGAAGATACTATATCAAAACATTCAAGAAGCAAAACTGAAATATGTGATTAGTAATTGATGGACACAAAGTCGCTAGGGCTTGTTTAATAGCTTTCTCCATTTCGAGGACACAATTGCGATAAAAATTTTTGTGAATGTGTCTTTAAGCTGTATATATAAAAGTCCCATTTTCACCATTTAGTGTATTCATTTTCTCTTTTCCATTACTTAATTCATTCACTTTCTATTTCTACTAAAACAATCCTGTATTGAAATACGAATTAGACTATTCAGGCTAAAAGTGACTCTCAACTCTGTTTTCATAGATAACTTTGAAATGGTAACCCAAGAATAAACAGCAGTGAACATGTAGAGGACTATTTTGGAGATTTATGTAACTTATCAGGGTGTTCTAATATTTTTACCCAATTTTTTTCACTAATTCTTAGAGCGCATCTGTTCACTATGTAAATTTTAAGAGGCTGAAATGAACATTCCAGGCTGAAACTAGAACCATTTTTAACTTTGGAAGTTGGGCCTGGAGAGGATAAGAAATGTGTCCAAGGTCACGCAAACAGTAGGTAACAGAAAAGGGATTGAAATCCCTAATACTTCAGAAGTTATAGAATAAAATATAATCTCAGACACAATAAGATGAATTCAAAGTTCAGATTACTGTCAAACATGGCTCAATTGTTCATTAACTTGCACAAATCTACTTAGTATTTATCTGTTTTCACTTATGCTATACTATACACTTATATTTATCTTTGCTTACAGTTAGAATGAAGCAACATGCTTCAAAATAATAAATTAGAATTTAAAAAATCAGTTTCTACAATTGAAAACTTTCACTAATTGAAATGTGTCAGAATCCAATTTTTTAATAAATTAGCTACCTTCTCCAGTTTTTCAATATCTCAATATAATCATCTCTCACTTTTATGTGCAGATGAGTACAATTTTTGAAACATGACTTCAAAGGGCTTTGAAATGCATTTAAAAGTATTTTACTTTTCAATAAAATATTTATTTTTTCAATTGTATTTCACCCAAGTGAAAAATAGTTTGTATTTCATGGGTTAGAAAAAGTAACTTAAAATTTATGACCTTTATGAGGCCCTATGATTATAAAAATGTATTCACTTAGAACAAAAAATATACTGTACATAATCTTCTGGCATGAATGAAAACAACTGGTTAAGTTTTACCAGAAACATTTGTGCCACGTTACCTTCCTAAAACTAAAGACTGTAATTCACAACTCACAGAGAGTTAGACATTTACCCTTATATTTCACGCAACTGACACCCCACTTGTAATTCTTTTATATCATCAATATAGTCAAAACCCTAAAACGATGTTTTCTTATTATGAATCAGTACTTTAAATTCTTTCATAGATGGATAAAATACATTTTATTTTTAATGATTCTTGTTAGGATAACTAGATTTCTTAAAGGGATTTTAAAAATTGACAAACATTGACCCAGTTATACTGAGAAAATTCTTTAACGTGGACTGCTGGAATACTTTTAATGTCTAGTTACAGTTCCATATATAAGTTACATAAGTGCAAAAGGTATGAGATACTATTAAGAACTACATGCAATTATAATTTTGTAATGTGATTACGCTTTGCTTTAAGATAAACAAAAATAATTCAATATTTCATAAGCAAATTGGCAGTTGACATGATGCTTTCTGTTTATCCTTTTATTCTTGGAGTAAGAGGAAATAATATCCCTTTGTTTCTTTACTTTCTGGTAAGGTGTTTATCATCTGGGCACAAAGGAAGGCCGTAGATAAATAGTATGGCATCTTAAGATTCAATAAGTGTTTAAAAAGAGAGAGGGAAGAGGGGATGGTAACAGGGCAGGAGGATGTTCATGACCACACTCCCTCGTCCTCCTACTTTCTTTGGTTTTATCTCTTTCTTTTTCATCACTGCAGTCTTAAATTGTTCCACAAAATGTTCCTTTTTCTACACATTGTTGCTATTTTCAAATTCTCCATCCTCTATAAACCTTACAATAGTAATTATAAATTAGAGGCAAAGGTACAGAAACAGAAAGTTTTGAAAAATTTTTATATCAAAAATCCCTCTAACTCCAGGCCGGGCGCGGTGGCTCAAGCCTGTAATCCCAGCACTTTGGGAGGCCGAGGCGGGTGGATCACGAGGTCAAGAGATCGAGACCATCCTGGTCAACATGGTGAAACCCCGTCTCTACTAAAAATACAAAACATTAGCTGGGCATGGTGGCGCGTGCCTGTAATCCCAGCTACTCAGGAGGCTGAGGCAGGAGAATTGCCTGAACCCAGGAGGCGGAGGTTGCGGTGAGCCGAGATCGCGCCATTGCACTCCAGCCTGGGTAACAAGAGCGAAACTCCGTCTCAAAAAAAAAAAAAAAAATCTCCAAAAAAAAAAAAAAAAAATCCCTCTAACTATAAATTGCCTATACTGAGCATGGCAATAGAATTAATCAGCAATGTAGCAATTTTATTCAGAAAAAAATTTATACAATTATAATACTTCTGCAACCTCATATATTTTTCCTTTTGAAATGCTCTTGTTTTGTGTCTTATTTCACAATTTTATAACGACCTATGAGTTTTATACCCATGTGTTTGATAATGGTGTCTCTCCAAACGTGGGAAAAAAATAGTTGCCACCAGGGAAAATGGCGGAACAGGTTGGCTTGTAATTAAGTGGATACTCACCATGACTGGCTCTGTTCTTTCCCATAGACCGCGAGTTCCCTAGAAGTTACTCATCCACTTTGACTGACATGGGGAGAAGTGCACCAAGGGAAAGAAGAGGAACTCCAGAAAAAGAGGTAGTTAATTTAGTAGCGTCGGAGTCTTTTACAGCAACACACTTGATGCAGCAACTTGCCAGCCAGAAATTATCCCCAAGCAGTAAAGAACTCAGACAGAAAATGTGAAAATACTGAGAAACTAGAAACTATGTCCTTGAAGCCCGAGCATAGCAACTCTGACCCTAGAAGCAGTCCACACCCTGACCCTAGCTTGGGGTCTTCCCTAGCGGTGGTCGAGTTTTGGCCTTGAGACCTCTCAGAGTCTTGACCTGATGTCCTTGAACTTAACCGTCGTGACCTAACAGTGTCCTGAGCTAGGGCACCTCATGGAGGGAAGAGGTTTCCTCTGTACAATTTCTTGTCGCACTGGTCTAAGAGAAAGCCTGATGTCAACTGTGTTGCAAATCAATCCAGAGCCTACATAAATAATTTGTGCTGGCTTACTTTTGTTGTAGAAGATTCCTGGAAAAAGCTATTAACCAACCCAATTCTCAGGACACTGCCCCTGGGAAACACCCGCCAACTGACTCTTTGTCCAGGGCCCTGAGATGGAGCTGCAGCTCTTGCTCAAACTGCCTTGGGTCAGCACTTTTCAGGGTTGGATAGAAACTAAAAGCTGGACATGGACTGGCAGCCACTCCAGAAGGATCTTACAGGTGTCCGATGTAGTCCAGTGCCTGAGGGACCCCCAGAGAAGTTAGAAAGGGTCTAGGATCCCTAACGTTCACCAGAGTCATGGGGAAAGAGAATGGAGTGAAGGGATTGTTGGTTGGTGGGGAAGGAAGAGCTGGTCTAGCTAGCTATAGGGTACAGCGTGCGTCGGGGAGATTCATGGGCCCCAAAGGTTGAGGATGGGCATGTGTCACATCACATCACAACTAAAAGATGAGTGACAGGTTGACAGAGTGTTGAAGGATGCCCGAACCCTCCAGGGAATGCAAGATGATCACACCTATACTTTTGCCTGCTAACCAGCCTCCCAGTGATAATTGAGCTAATGTTTTTTGCTAATATGTTAATATGTGTCTAATGAAGAGAATGATGACTTCCTTTATGACATCTGATCCTTTTATTATGATTCAGAAGGAGTTGTGTCAATCTCCATAGAACATAGAGCCATTGACCCTTTACACTTATCCCAGGAAAAGCCTTTGTAACAGCCAAAATGATGCCTAGGATGCAATCTCTGCAGGCATTCTATTCTCTCATTATGACATTAATCTATCTTAGCTCCTAAGATAAAATATGATGCTGAATAAGCCATCTATTATATTCCTGTTATAGCTTAAATATCTCAATGAAAAATGAATAGATTTATTTATAAATTGCATATAGCATTTACATCACATATGTTTAATCATTCCTTGAGGTTTCCTTTTTCTTTAAGGCACATGAAACTACTCTCCTGTAGAAAATTCTAATTTTAAATTAGTATTAATTGTTTATCTTCCTTTTTAGAAATTGCCTGCAAAAGCTGTTTATGATTTTAAGGCTCAGACATCTAAGTAAGTAAGATAAATATTCATCATATGATGTGAGGTGGTTTTAAATATGTTAATAATAGTTTAAGAGATAAACATTGCAATGGGATGTGTTCAAATGAGGTCTAATTCCCAATGCGGCAATCTACTCTCATTAAATGCTTCCTTCAGAATTACTTGGGATGCGGTAATTTTATTTTCATTTTAAGTTTAGTTGAGAACTACTGAGTTTTCAATTATATTAAACATGTTAGGTAGAACACAATGAGTTCTAATGGATAGGAAAAACAAAAAGAAATTAAGAATATTTGTTTTTAGAATGTTTGTGTCAATAATGAATTAATAAAGTATTGAGAGCCAGGTACAGTGCCTCATGACTGTAATCCCAGCACTTTGGGAGGCCACGGTAGTGGATTGCTTGAGCCCAGGAGTTCAAAACCAGCCTGGGCAACATGGCAAAACCACATCTCTACAAAAAAATACAAAAATTAGCCAGCCATGGGGATGTGCTCCTCTATAGTCCCAGCTATCAGGAGGCTGAGCCGAGAGGATTGCTTGAGCCTGGGAGGTAGTTGTTGCCGAAAGCTGAGATGGCACCACTGCACTCTAGCCTGGCAACAGAGCAGGACTCTGTCTCAGATAAAGAATGAATTAATAAATAAATAAAGTATTGGGGAGTAGTCAATACTAGCTGGGGGAATTTGATCACATGTATTTATCGAAACATCCCAAGCATAGTTTGTGGGTTGATGACAAGAACTTAGCGCAAAGATTTCTATATTGAAGTCTCCATCCTCAGCCTGCAAACTTCAGAGATTCTGAGCAAAGTTTCCTCCTGTGGTCTTTGGGTGTTGGTGTTTTCACACTCCTGAATTGCAATATTTCTTTTGCCTTTATTCTTTGTTCATCAGATAAGCATGTGGTTGAGAAAGCACATGAATAAACTTAAATAAGAGGGAGTTGCCCAGCATTTTTGTGGCCATGGGCACAGAACTTTAAGAAACTTTGGTCTCCAGTAGAATTCAAGACAGATATTGAACTCATCGTAAATTGTCATTAAATTATTATATGTTGTTTACACTGAATATATATAATAACCAAAATAATTTATTCATAAAAATGCAAATAATATGAATTCATAGTTCCAGAAACTGTCTCTGGCAGAAGACATATAAAAATAAATCACTCAGAATTTGGTAATGAAATAGATAAGAAAAATCCTATTTAGAAATTAAGATGTCGAACATGGCTTAAATCTGGCCTGAAGAAAAACTTACATCTATTTTTCGGATTAGAGAAATAAGATGCTTTCCTTCTACTGCACTCTGGTCCTAACTACTGTCCTTTGGATATGGTGTGACAATTTGTACAATGCCTGTCAGTTTTATAAAATAATGTTTAGAGCACATGTTTCATTTCCTCTTTGTAAAAATCAACCCATAGCTTTCTTAAATATATAAAACCCTGAGGAATGGCAGGGGACATGAAGTAGGAAGGGTGTCCACCCAAGGCACACAATGTCTTCTGAGAAGTCTTAATAAAAAACAAGCCGCCAGGCATGGTGGCTTACGCCTGTAATCCCAGCACTTTGGAAGGCCAAGGCAGGCTAATCGCTTGAGGTCAGGAGTTCGAGACCAGCCTGGCCAACATGGCAAAACCCCATCTCTACTAAAAATATAAAAATTAGCTGGGCGTGGTGGCGCATGCCTGTAATCCCAGCTATTCAGGAGGCTGAATCAGAGAATCACTTGAACCTGGGAGACGGAGGTTCTCATGAGCCAAGATCACACCACTGCACTCCAGCCTGGGGACAGAGAAAGACTCTGTCTCAATCAATCCATCAATCAATAAAGGGAAAAAAGCAAATGGGACTTTAAAATTCTAGATCTGAGATGAGAAGGACACAGTTTTGAAAACTTAAGAGTTTCAGCAACAGCTACCTCCCTGTGTCTTAATGACTTCAAATTGTAAATACAAAAGAGTTCTTTACATAATTTAAAAAACTTCATTGCCTGTAATTTATATGTACAGATGTATTTTTAAAAGCTAGCCTCATTTCCAGAAACAAAACATATCTGGTACAAATAAAACTGTTGTGTTGTGAACATTAAATATCTTATTTTGTTCTGTTTTCTGTTTTTCACATTAGGCGTTTGCACAAAAGAAGGAAGCACTGTATTTGAATGTAAAATTCTGTGAATCTATTTTGTCTTTAGGGTTACTGAAAATTTAACACATTTTCAATTGTGGAGATTTTAGCACTTCTAAATGTGTGATCATTCTTTTACTATGCCACCATTTTTTCAATTAATTTTTTTATTCAATGAGAAATGTTCTCCATCAGGTATAAATCTCTCTCCCTCATACGGTCTATACTAATAAATGATCCAACTAAAAATTCTGAACCAAAATTTATTTTTAAAAAATTTTAAAAATGAAAATTCTGAATGAAACAATGCAGAAGATTCCAGAGTGGGAAGGCAGAAGTGTTGCAAAGTGTGATGCTCTTAGAGAAGATACAAGTTAATTGCCCTCCATCCAAGAATAACTGTGGAAGCAAAATAACAAACCAATCTAATCATCTGGATAATTAAGCCAGGAAAAATTGGTGTAGTGAAGGTGATAAGTTTAGGCATGAATTATTCGAAATGAATAACGTCATTATCATTTAAAATTATAAACTGCAAATCAAATATACCTACAGTTTTCTTAGAAACAGCCAAAATGGCAAAATATAGTTAATGTCTTGAAACTATTTTTATTTTTTATAAACAGAAGATAGACGACAAACATTGGCACATGTCTTTGCACTTAAAACACATTCTTTGTGCCCCACTGAAAATTAAAAGTATAAGATCTTTTCTGTTACACAAAATAAATTCCTTATCAAGATATTCTGTTTAAATACCTGTCAACCAGCTTCAAAGACTCACAGATAAAATCTGTTCTGGTGTTGGTACTTCTATTCTGAGACTACATGATATTTGTTTTCCTTCATGGAAGCTTTAGTGCATCAAAAGAGGCAGAGGCATTAGTAACTAGCCGACTAGCTTCAGGACAAAAAAAAGACAAAAATCGGAGCAGAACTATTCATTCATTTTGCCAAGCTTCAAAATGCCTCTTCTATGAACTAATGATAAAGTAGCAATAGTCAGTCCCCCTCTGTGATTTGTATCCAATGGGATGTTTATACTTACTCGTTTCTTTTTTTTTTTTTTTTTTTTTTTTTTTCAGACAGTCTCACTCTGTCACCAGGTGCCAGGCTGGAGTGCAGTGGCGCGATCTCAGATCACTGCAACCTCCGCCCGGGTTCACGCAATTCTCCTGCCTCAGCCTCCAGAGTAGCTGGGACCATAGGTGCACGCCACTGAGCCCAGCTAATTTTTGTATTTTTAGTAGAGAAGGGGTTTCACCATCTTGGCCAGGATAGATTCGATCTCTTGACCTTGTGATCCGCCCGCCTCGGCCTCCCAAAGTGCTAGGATTACAGGTGTGAGCCACTGCGCCCAGCCTATACTTACTCTTTTTGAAATCATTTCTAAGTTATGTTATAAGTCCATTCTAAGAATTTGCAAGGATAATTCTTATCTAACCATATTCAACTCAATCTTAGATTGGATTCTTTAATATTGTCAGTATATTTCCCAAACAAATGCAGATCTAGCGAGGGAGTTGATGTTGAGAATCATTGCTGTACATCACGAAAAAGACCATTTAAACATGTCTCTTCCAGGGAGTTGTCATTTAAGAAAGGAGATACTGTCTATATTCTCAGGAAAATTGATCAAAATTGGTATGAGGGAGAACACCATGGAAGAGTGGGCATTTTCCCAATCTCATACGTAGAGGTAAGTCCTCTCCCTTTCTCTCTTGGATGATGGTTGTTTCAAAGGTCACCACAGGTTTGAGAATAAATGACTATTTCCTTCATAGAAACTCACACCTCCTGAGAAAGCACAGCCCGCAAGACCACCCCCGCCAGCCCAGCCTGGAGAGATCGGAGAAGCTATAGCCAAATACAACTTCAACGCAGACACAAACGTGGAGCTGTCACTCAGAAAGGTGGCCCGGCTGTGTTTCATTTGTTTCTTTGTTTTTGTCAGTGCATTTGAAAAGGCTGTATATCTTCAAAACTAAAATAGGTCATCTTTTTCTTTAGACATCTTTGTGTTTTTCCTATTTTCTACAAAGGACTCCTTAAGGTAGCCTGGAGTCACAGTTCCCTGCTGGTCCCTGTGTCCTTTCAGAGGAGTTCCCCGAGGGACGCCAGGCTTCTCTGAGGCTTCCCTCTGTGGCTTGGTTTGGGAAGCTGGGCACAGGGCCGAAAATCAGGGAGTTATACATTCGGGAGCCCCAGAAGGAAAGAGCACTTTGATACGCTTCAAAATATTGTTTTGCTGCCTTATTTTCCAACCTTTTTTAAACAAGATACTCCAATCCTTATCTTCCTCTGTCTTGGAATGTAGGAATGGTCCTGGGTGATGAAGATCCTTCCTCTCAGGGGAGCCACTTGAGGAGCTGTCTGTACAGCGCCCTTTCCTGGCTCTTCCTCATGATTGACCCAGATCTCTGGCATCCCATCCAATCCTAGTATCTCTTCTTAATCATATCAAAAGACTCTTGTAACCTGCTACTTTCCATCACTGAGAATGAGAAAGGAACTATTTTTATTGCTTTCTAAACATGACATATATTTGTTTGAGGTAACTGCCTGTCTGCACACAGTGCACATTAGACAGTAACATGCAGAGTGGCTCTAGGACGTCCCATGCCTGCTAGTGAATGCCTTCGCCAGGTGTGATGCAGGGCAATACCATAGTTCTGTTTGTTCTGGTCCTGGCAGAACCTTGTCCCATTCTCTCCTTTCATTCCTCATTCTGCATCATCAGCCGATTCCTTCTTCTCTGCCCTCTGGGCCGCCACCCAGCATGAGAACCACAGAGCATTACAGGAACTCTGTCTCCTGTTCCATGCTTTACAGAAAGGCTCCACCAAGGCATCTTATGGCTCACACACAGCCTAGCAACTTGGAATGTAGGAATGGTCCTGGGTGATGAGATCCTTCCGCTCAGGGGAGCCACTTGAGGAGCTGTCTGTACAGTGCCCTTTCCTGGCTCTTCCTCATGATCTCAGTATATTAGGAAATCAGTGCAATTTTAAGATTTGGGGAGGCCGACTTTTCTTCAGTATGTTCTGCTCTGTGGTGGTGAAGCACACAAAATCAACCATGCAGCATTTTGACAGAAAGAGAACTTTCAAGTTCTACTCAAGGTAGAAGTTCCTGGGTAGCACCTGAGGAAGGGTGCCCCATCAGACTGAGAGTAATGGCTGTTTCAGCTCCGTCACACAAGCAGGCACGGCTGCCCACACTCCTGTATCACCTGCTGAATGCAGCTGCAGTTTTTGCCCTGTAGCACCAACTTGGCTGCCTATTTCTAGGACGCATGCAGTTTTGAGTTAAAGTTTAAACTGAGTTCTGTGGCAGTGGCTCAGTCACTGCAGGTGGAAGGAATACTGATTGTAGAAAGTTCTATTATGGTGAAAGCCAAGGGTTCTATTCAAATATTTAATGACAAGTGTAGAATGGTCACCAACTACTCAGATGAATGCTGGGCTCACATTGTCAGGATGAAGACCAGGGGAATGGCAGTCTTGTCACAGGGATTGATACTCTAGGGCGCTGTCTTTCCCCCACCCCTTTAGTTCACTCCGTCACTACTTAGCACATGTAGATTAGAGAGAAAATGAGCCAGGCACGGTGGCTCATGCCTGCAATCCCAGCACTTTGGGAGGCTGAGGCAGTCAGATCATTTGAGGTCAGGAGTTCGAGACCAGCCTGGCCAACACGATGAAACCTCCATATCTACTAAAATACAAAAATTAGCCGAGTGTGGTGGTGAGCACCTGTAATCCCAGTTACTCGGGAAGAATTGCTTGAAACCAGGAGGGGGAGGTTGCAGTGAGCCAAGACAGTGCTACTGCACTCCAGCCTGGGTGACAGAGTGAGACTTCTTCTCAAAATTAAAAATAAAAAAAGAAAGCGGAGTGCCATTCGGTGTTATCCCTTCTAGAAGCATTTTCTGTGACCCATTTCAGACACACTGTCACAGCGAGGTGTGGTGCACTTTCTGAAGCTCTTCCTATAGAAGGCCAAGGCACTCAATGTGTCAGAGATAATATAAGGCTATTGTCATTGAGACATTACCTGTTACACTATTCTGCTTTTTGAAATAACTTAGACAAATAATTTCACACGATACCAGCATGAGCAAATATAAACCCGTTCACATTAACCAAGCATCCTTAGGGAAGATTCTGATGTCCCGAATGGACAATTTAATTACATATATGTGGATAATGTGTATTTTTCTGGTAAGCACTAGGACCTTATTTGCAGGCCCCTGATTAAACAATAACTGAAGATACAAAACTTTCCCAAAAGGAAACCTACCATTTCATAGAAAACACTGACAATTATATTTTCATGTTATTCTCTCCCTATTTCTAATGCATTTTTCTCATATTCATAACAGGGAGATAGAGTTATTCTTCTTAAAAGAGTTGATCAAAACTGGTACGAAGGTAAAATCCCAGGAGCCAACAGACAAGGCATCTTCCCTGTTTCCTATGTGGAAGTCGTCAAGAAGAACACAAAAGGTGCTGAGGATTACCCTGACCCTCCAATACCCTACAGCTATTCTAGTGATAGGATTCACAGCCTGAGCTCAAATAAGGTAAGAAGATACTCTATCATGTTCATGTCATACTGGGAGCTCCAAGTAAGACAAGCGGTATGTGATTTTAGGATATTAGATTAGAATATCACATCTATTGCAGAGAAAGAGATTTACGTATTATGTTTCTATGTGTGTGAGCGCCACATCAGTAAATATAACAATTTTTCTCAAACAGGTGCTGGCATAAAGATTTCATGATTAATTTTGCCCATTTCATTTTCAAGTTAAAATATCAAAAGAGAAAGACAAAAGAATAATATCATAAAGTCTTGTATGACACATACCTGTACGCCTATGTACATAAATGTTTTCTAAACCAATTTTTTCTACAGCTTTTTATGTAAATGTTATGTATATAATATGATCTAGATATAAATAAATACAAGTATATATACATACATATATACAATTGTGATTTATACTTTGAAATATAAATATATACAACATAAAATACTATGTATATCTCAAAATGGTATATCACAAGAATGCATGGTTATTAGGTTCACAAATCTATTCAAGTTTTTTATATGGAAAGTGAGCTAGAGCAAAAATTTTTAATGAGAGTCGATAAGTCAATTTGTGTATTAGCCTGAATGAAAATGTTTTAGGTTATTATAAGTCCTCGAGTTTATTTTATTAGTTTTAGGACAGGTATATGCCAGTTCTACTGTTTCACTTGAGTGGGCTAAAGATGATTATCATTCTCAATATGTAATTTAAAAGAGACTTTTCTTCCTTAATTGGTGAATTTATAAAAAAGGCCATTTGACAGGCTATACTCACAATGTGAAATTTTTTCTTATTTTTCTGCTGAATTATATTCTTTTTATGAATGGCATTTAAGAATTTGTTTCTCATTAACTTCTAAGAATAAAAATTGCCATTACTTCCAAAATGTTGTAAGTACTTCCCAACATTTAAAAAATGTATTAAGTTGCATAATTGATTAATGATTTTAATTGAGATCAAGGCTGAGACATAGAAAGCTAAACCATGTCAGCTGACCAAGCCAAAAAGTTTTCCAGAATCTTCTTAAGTATATTTACTTCATTACCAGAGCTTAGCATCTTTCCTTCAGTATTTTCTGCTGATAAAGAGAAAAGATAAGAATCTCCATGCATGTATTTGTCTTATCCACCATTCAGTCATCTTTAAAAAACTATCACAGAAATTTCAAAGCAACTGTACCTTCAAATAAAATGAGGAAAGAAAAGCATGTATCTACAAAAGCTCATTAAACATCTAACAAATTATTCCATATGTCCTAATTAACAATGGCAATATAATATTTTCAATTCCAGTCTTTGATGTGAATATAATTTAAATGTAATTGAATATATTTTCAAGTTTTTAAAATAATACCAGATTTTAAATAGAAAATTTCACTAATAACTAGTGTTTTATGGCTCACTGCTGGGGAAAGAATATGTTGAGAAGCTTATGTCTGTAATTTGAAATAAATACTTCATGGTTTTATCCCGACTGGTAATCCATGCTGTGATGTCACAGGCTTAATGAAGAAAACTTCTTAGTAGTGACAATCATTTTTAGAAAGATAATGTATTTCTAAATGATGACATTCGAAATATACTAAATGCTATAGAACCTATTTTCTAACTGATATTTACAGAGAGAACTCATTAATAATTTATAAATTACGCTGGGGACACATTTAAGTCACATTTCTTGACATTCTGTCTTCGTCTTAGGGGAGACTAAAATGTAAGTTGATATTCTTTCTGACATTTCTGCTGTTCGTGCTTTGGATTCCAATTCTAGTGCTTTTGGAAAACAATTTTATGGCTTTTGTATTATAGGTATGGTTTGCGATATACTTATACCAGGATGCTTCATTTGGCTTTGGTGTAAGCTAGTCCATCGTAAAGCTAATCCGTTTAACCTGCAAATATGTGTTTTGGTGACTGTGATGGTGATGGCCCTGGAGGAGTGGCAGCAGGAGATAGCAATGGTGATGGTGGCCGTAATGACAAGGGAATTTAAAGAGCTTGCTTTCTCGTCCACATAATATTCCTGGCATAATAGAAAGTGAAAGTGGAAACTTGATGATTTTAAATTACTATATATTTTACAGACTTTTCAAATCTTTTTTTTTTTTTTTTTTTTTTTTTTTTTTGAGACAGAGTCTCGCTCTGTCGCCAGGTGCTAGCCTGTAGCGCAGTGGCGCAATCTCTGCTCACCGCAACCTCTGCCTCCCGGGTTCAAGCAATTCTCCTGCCTCAGTCTCCTGAGTAGCTGGGACTAGAGGCGCATGCCACCACGCCCAGCTAATTTTTGTATTTTTTAGTAGAGACAGAGTTTCACCATGTTGGCCAGGATGGTCTCGATCTCTTAACCTCATGATCTGTCCGCCTCGGCCTCCCAAAGTGCTGGGATTACAGGCGTGAGCCACCGCGCCCTGCCTCCAAATCTATTAGAAACTTTCATGTTATGTAACAAAGGGTATAAAATAGAACTCTAGCTATTAAGGAAACTTCTGTTGAATGAGACTTGAGTGGTTTATATCCTATTGAAAACTCAACATCTACAGGACTTAATAGGAGGAGCTGTCTACCCAGGCACAAACCACACATGCAGTCTCGCTGTGTGTCAGCAGCTAAGCAGCCTGGGTCCTGAATCTTTATTAAGATGCTCACATGAGTTTTGTGACGTTTATGTCATCCCATGATAAGGTGACTTTTAAAAAAAGAAAGAGCTAAATAAATCCGATTAATACCCCATTCCTATTAGAGGACAAAGGAGTCCAAAGTTATGTGGGAAATGCATCACCCACTTACACACACTAGGGCCCAGGAGCAAAAGGGCCAGCTACCTGTGTAAAGTGTTATCCTAAACAATCAGCTGGAAAATGCGTCTCCAGAATCTTTTTGGAGACTTTTTTCTTTCCAAATCAAAGGCATCTGTCTAGAAAGCTGTAAAGTGAAAGGTCCCTTTCTTAAGGCCTTTATGCACAGAGCGGGCAGCATTTTCTCTAGCCCAGCAAAGGTAGATAAATATATTCCAATGTTAGTAAATAGCACTTCTAGAGCTACATGTTTTCGTTTTTAATTTTTATGGGCATATATGGGGCGTATTTATTTATTAGAACTACTTTTAATGACTTTGCATAAAATTTTAAATTTATTGTTTTGTTTACTATATCCAAAATGCCTCAGTAATACTAGATATACAGAAGTGTATTTTTACTTCAGGGCATTAAGCTTCATAAATCATACCTCCTCTGATTTACATAAATGACAAGCTTTGAAAGAGAACGGGAGCCTTAAGCAGAAGTGTTCTCTGCCGTTAGCATCAAATGGGCTTTTTCCGTGTAAACGTTTACTTTGGATTTTTTTAGACTTTGAAGCAGCAGTATGTAAGCTCAGCTTCATTCTGATCATGGGCTCCTGTCTTTGAAACATACTTTTCAGAATGTATTCACTTAGAAATCTGTTAACATATCATGTTCTAAAATACTTGATTCGTAGGTTCTAATCACCTTGCCAACCTAAGTAGGAACATTGTCAGAGTTTAAAAGATTGGGCTATACTGTCGCAAAAAAAGAGCATTACACAAATTCAGGAAATAAAAAAGATTTAACTGTTGGTTTTCATTCTACATTCCATTTCTTTGGAGTCATTTATACTGCTAAATCAATATCTGGAAACCTGTAATATCTTTTCAACATAGTTTAAAGTGAGTAAGCTATTCAACCTCTTAGATTTTACTCTTCTTTTAATTTCTATATCATCTTCATCTTATTTGACATTGAGACCCCTTCCAAAGCTAGCAGGGTTTCATTGTTGAAGCAGCTTCTCTAATGAAGGTAAATGATTTTATGTGTTTAAATTTCCGCAAAATATCTTCAACTCTAGATGTCTTCTACATGTCTTTAAACCTGTCCATGTTAAACATAAAATCATTTTCATATCCGCCAGCACATCTTTTCTGCATTTCTTCATCTCTGTGTTTCGATGCATTATTATTTTCTTTATTTTTTCTTAACTTCATAATCCGCGCTCATCTCCAAGCTGGCTTCCAGTGAACCAGCCCCTCCTCCCACCCACACAGCCTCGCCTGGCTCACTTAAAGGAGCTCTCCGGGGAACTGCCCAGGGCCGGTTGTCCCTGACAGCCTCATGTCCACCAGCAAACCCTCTGGCCCCAACACCACCTCCTTCCCTGGACGACTTCTTGGATGAATTGGAGAAGCTTGGTGCTTTAACCTTGTCAGCTGACCAAGCCGAACCAAACATCCTAGAGGACCTCAGCCTGGAAATTAAGGAGGAACCTGCTGTGCCCCTCCCGTTGCCTCCAGCGTCTGCGCCGGCCGAGTCACCTTCCGCTGGCGCGGGTGTGGCCTTGGCTGCAGCCCAGACTTACCATGCAGAGCCACTTCAGGATCCCATAACCACAACTCAAAGCAAGTTTGCAGATTTGAGAAAAATGAGAAGGGGCTTTTCAGACCCTAAAAAGGTGCCGGAAGTCCTAGGGGATAAGTTTGTGGCCTCTGCATGCACCAGCGTGGGTTCCTTGCCCACACCCCTGCCCGTCATTGGAGAGGAAGATGAGGGCATCTATGAGGGGATCGTGTCAGGCATCCAGAGAAGGCCGCCAGGACCTCAGGAAGGAGATGCCTGGTGGTGTGGCCACGATGGGACAGAGGGGACCCCACACCTGCACATTGAAGAGGAGGAGGAAGAGGAGAAACCTGACTCCTTAGCCACCCCCCCAGATTCTAGGATCCCCAAGGAGGACAGCAATGCAGCAAAAACCAGTAATGAGGTATTTTAATTTTGCCTAATTACTGAAGAACTAACCGGCCTTACTGTGATTAGCTATTACAGTTAATCATATTAATAAATATCTGTTTTGACACTGCCTAACAGGGCTTTTTAAACAAAAAACACAAACACTGTAAGCTGGGCAAGGAGTGGGTATATCAAAACACACCACATTTAATTAAATGATGTAAATATGCGGTATAATTCCATTATTCCATTATTTCTTTAGGACCATGAACTTATATTTTAAAATTATGTATAATTTATATAGTCTTTGTAATCTTCCAATATTAGTAATGATAGCTAATAGTGGAGCTCTTACTGAGTATCAGACACTATTCTAAGAATTCTACATCTTTAATCTTCAAAACCCAGTGAGGTGTGTGATATTATCATCCCCACTTTAGAGATGAGGAAATTGATGCACAGAAATGTGTCCTATTCCAAGATGAGAAAACCAGACACTATACCTTTGGTATAATGGCACTTTTCAAAAATAACAATGATAAAGAAAACAGAAAAAGAAAAACAGCAATCTGTCCCCTTATGATTCTCTAAAGAGGTCACCCTCTTTATGTTGACTTCATGTTGACTACTTAAGAGTTGGGTACTGTATCTTCACATTACAAAGAACCTTGAACAATGGTTTTAATCAGCAAAGGCAGGAAATGCCTGGAAACTTTAGCTTGCAAACCTCTCTGTTAACACAAAAAGCAAGCCTGTAATCCCAGCACTTTGGGAGGCTGAGGCAGGGAGATCACTTGAGGTTAGGAGCTGGAGCAGCCTTGCCAACATGGCGAAACTTCCTTGCTACTAAAAATACAAAAACTAGCCAGACATGGTGGCAGGTGCCTGCAATCCCAGATACTCGGGAGGCTGAGGCAATGAGCAGAGATCATGCCATTGCACTCCAGCCTGGGTGACAGAGTGAGACTCCATCTCAGAAAAAAAAAAAAATGAAACTTGAGGCCGGGCATGGTGTCTCACACCTGTAATCCCAGCACTTTGGGAGGCCAAGGCTAAGGTCAGGAGTTCAAGACCAGCCTGGCCAACATGGCGAAACCCCATCTCTACTAAAAATACAAAAATTAGCCAGGTGTGGAGTTGGATGCCTCAGGATGTAATCCCAGCTACTCAGGAGGCTGAGGTAGGAGAACTGCTTGAACCCGGGAGAGAGAGATTGCAGTGAGTAAAAGTGTGCCACTGCACTCCATCCTGGGCAATAAGAGCAAAACTCTGTTTCAAAAGAAAAAAGAAAGACAGAAATTTGATCCCTCAAATGTATCCTGTGAATTAAGAAGCAAGTATAATTACTGGCAATTATGGAAATTATGAAATGATAGAAAGCATGGTTCATATTATGCCACTATCCAAGTCATATTCTTTCCTAGTTCCTCTATTTCAAAATAACCTGGCTATGCCTGCATTTGTGTAAAACAAACACATTATTTAATAACAGATAGATACTTCACTGCAATAAGTCAAGCATGTCTCTACACCAACTATTTCAATAACTAATTTTCCTTTCAATTCAGTCAATTTTAAGAAATGATCAGATGCGCGGCTTTGTTAAACTGTTAACTGTCTGTTTGCTGCAGACGGTACCCCAGGCCGGCTCATCCCAGCACCAGCTCACACCCTGCACACAGGGGGCCGCAACGTCCCCAGCTTTGTGACAAACTATTTATAGTTGGTGACCTACTTTACAAGCAAGTTACAAAGAGTCATTGCAGGGTTTGAAATACTTTTTTCCTTCACTTTTAGAAGGAGCCACATAGAAATGTATTATAAAAGTATGGAACATAGGTGCTCCTATTTCCAGCCACCCATATCTGAAAATTATACTGATCACACCCACTGAGGATTTTAAATCAAATTCAAGAGAGGAAGTTAGTGCTTTCAAAGCAAAAAAAAAAAAATGTGTCGTAAATATAACTTCCCAAGATTACTGGTAACATTAAAATGATTTGGGGTTGGAGGATATTCTGTCACCCCTTTCCGGGCACAAGCGTAATCACGTCTTGTCTTTCCTCAATATGTAAGCTACCGTCATTTTCTTCGGGAGACCGAGCAACCACACCCTTCCCCAACCACCTGCTTTCTTCCCCTCCATCTCATTCTCTCTTGGCCTCTGTTTCTGACCTGGACTCTACACGTTCTCAGCCCTGCTCACCTCCTCTCCTCCCTACATATTCTTATCCACAGGAGATCAATCCACCAAAATTAAAGGTAACTGCATCTTGAGTGTGGTTCATTGCATGTCTTCAAGAACTTAATCAGTAAGATGTATGCCCTCTCACAAGACCTAAGAAGTTATATAAATACTAATTGCTAACTTTTAACATCTTTAGCATGGCCTCTATCCAAACATTTAAAAGATCCATTTGCATAGCAGCTATACCCAGACTGAGGGGAAAAACAGACTGAAATGCACATCAGAATAAAAAGGAATGATTTTTTTCAGTTGAGCGTCAGCACGAGAACCGTCACATTCGAAGGCGTCTCAGCTCAGTGCCTGTCATGCTCCATCCCCTCTCAGTGGACTCATTGCCTCCCGTCATCTCCCACCCATCGGCAGGCTCAGCAGAGCCTGGAGACAGGACGGTCTTTGGCACTGAGTGTCTTGAGCCTTGTTCTTCCACAAAAGTAAAGTAAATTCATGAGGATGTGGGAAGGATCACCCTTTTGTAGCAGTTTCCAAAGCATCCAGACTTGCAGGCTGACAGCTCCGCTGGTATTTAACCTAAAGATGCCATTTTAAAAAAATTATCTTAACAAAATGAATGACTTGCCTTGGAAAGAGATTTAATGACAAGCACAGCGTGAAATTAGTCCATCACAGAAACGTTCTCCTTCTGTATTTAGAATGATCCTGAAACATTTTCCTCTAGGCAAAAGGTGACAGACTTTGAATAATAACTCACCCTCACATTCAATCTTTTGAATGTGAAATGAGAGCCTCTGCAGATAAGTAAAAATGTAGGGCTCTGATACAGCTAAGGTTCTGTATTAGGAAGTGCTGTTTATAGAACCTCAAAATCATGATCACCAGACCCGTTCGCTGACATGGGCTACGTGCTCCTGTTAGGTGTGAAAGGAACTTTGTAAAAAATGGAACACTTTAAAGACTAATTGTTTTTTGCTGTTGGAGGTTTTTTTCTTAGCTGGCAAAAAATAATTAGAAAATGTTTTAAATAATGGCACTTTATATGATGCCTAAGGTAAGCATTTCTCTTTTTTTCCCCTTTTTCTGTGGTTTTATTTTTAAGGCCAAGCTATTTATTTCTTGTCCTTTTTTACTGGTTTTTCAGACTTTAAGCTTAATCAATAAGAGGTAAAGTAACTTTAGAATCTGAGTTCTCTAATTTAGAAAGATAGAGGATGCACGATTGTAGTGTCAGGACAAAACCAGATGTAAAAAGGTTTGTTCTGTGAGAACCAAATCCCTCTCATACATTCTCCAGGTTTCAGTTGTGTGCAGAATGTCAGGAGAGAATGGAGATTTTCACAATAACTAATAACTACATGAAATACTTATAATGACGGCAAAGCAAACTGGTTTTTCTCTATTTTTTCTCCTATGTAGGAGCAAATCTTGATTTTTGAATCTCCCACTGAGTGTTTTTAAACCTTATAAATCTATTTTGTAGTCACTGAAAGAATGTATTCACTGAAGTTATTTGTGCCTGTAAATTTAAATACAAATTGAATCAACTCCAAATTTTAGGCCATTATAGTTTAATTCCACATCTGACCTAGTTACAGACTGTGTCAGTCTGAGGCCAAAGCCTTCTTATTTCTTCCATTTCAAGAATGTTAATGATCATTGTAAAGAAAAGAAATAACCGAGCACTGAAAGCAAAGAGAAAATAAACTTTTCATAATGTTTTAATAGACATAGTAGAGCATGCATGAAATCACTATAATAGCATTTTTATCAACTCCTATAAACCATTGTTTAGTTAACTTATGTTAAGTCAATCCAATTTCATTCTTTTAAAGTATTTTCTAAGACATTGAAAATCTCCATAAAAATAAAGGCAATGCCAAAATCTTCCATAAACGTAAAAGTTACTACGACTTTATAGATTACAGATGACTGAAAGATACATAAATTATCTTTGATATATAAATCTGAATCCAATATTTCCCATCTTTTGAGGATTTGTTTTTAAAATAATGATTTTTCATAACAAAAAATAGTATAAATCTCAGCTCCTCTGTAAGCTGAGCTTCCATTTCCATCCAAGAGACTATTTTGCAAGAGACTTGCAGCATGCGGACCGAGGTTGCAGCGGAAGCTCGCTGAGGAGAGTGAGAGGCTCTTTCTTGGGTTTCTTTCAAGAAACTCAGGGGTTGTGGTCCCACAAATCATCTCATCACCCTAAAGCATTCCCATGAGAAAGGGATCCCTGGGGTAGTTTCCAACATGAAATCAGGCCCTGTTTGTTCCTAATTGTTCACGTGGTCTTTCCGGCTGTTATGATCCACATCATTCTAACAGCTAAATGGAGTTTTATTCTCTAAGGGCTCTGATATGTTTAGAACCCCTGTATTTGTCAGGACTGGGGTAGGCACAGAGTCAGAAAACTCAAAATAATTAGAGCTTAAACAAGGTAGAAATATACTGCTCTTACACATAAATGTAGGGTCTCCAGGACTGATATGGTGGTTCCACAGTCATCAGAGAACCCAGGAGGCTCCATCTGATGTTGGTTCATCACTGTTCTTAGAGAGAAGCTTCTGCAATGGGTCCCAGCAGAGAAAAGAACTGCTCAAGGAAGAAGTGTAATCTCCCCTCTTTTCTCCTTCCTGTTGCACACGAACCAGCAGGAAGGAGAAAAGGGGGAAATTACACCTTCTCGCTTGAAGGCCATGTCCCAGAAATTGCACATATCCCCTGTCACAGCTTATCACATGAGCGTGTCCAGCTACAAGTCAGGAAATGGGATCTTTATCCAGAATGGCCACATGCCTCCCCAACAGCCTGGTCCTGTTACTGAGGACCAAGTAGAGAATGGACTTGGAGAGCATCAAGCCTTGTCTGCCATGACCCCTAAGCAACGATGCCAAACACATTTCATCCTGAGAGGCTGGGGATTTGAGGGCAATCGTTACTGAGAATTAGGAAAACTTTTCTAAACGAGAGTTGAGAAAACCACATGCTTTTATTTAAGCGTGTTTTATTCCCACTAAAGTTCTCTTAAGCCAGATCAAATACCAGGCAATACTCTGCCAGATCCTGTCTGCTGTTGGAAGGAAAATGAGACACACACATACAAGATCAGCTTGTTCACTGTCATATGAAAGATCTTACTCTGAAAGAACACTAACACAGTCAAGCCTGCAGGTAGAGCACTTGAGTATTTCATTGTTTCACCATGCTTTCCCCCAAAAAGGCCTTGTTTTCTTCTTATATGTTTGTTAGAAAATTTTGCCTCCCACAAATATATGACATAGTCCATGAAATCTGATGGGCATTAAGCCAAATTCTCCTTTGTCTCACCTTGCATCTCTTCAATAATCACGTGGGAGCAGGTCAGGCTTGAGAGCATCTTGAACCCCGTTGCTAAGCGTTCTGTTAAAGACATAACATTTCTTGGCCGGACACGGTGGCTCACACCTGTAACCCCAGTGCTTTGGGGGGCGGAGGCGGGCAGATCACCTGAGGTCAGAGTTCAAGACCAGCCTGACCAACATGGTGAAACCCCATCTGTACTAAAAATACAAAAATTAGCCAGGCGTAGTGGCGCACACCTGTAATCCCAGCTACTCAGGAGGCTGAGACAGAAGAATCGCTTGTACCCGGAGGACGGAGGTTGCAGTGAGCTGAGCTCACACCATTGCCCCCCCTCCGGGGCAACAAAACAAGACTTTTTTTTTGAAAAAAAAAAAAAAAAAAAGGCATAACATTTCTTATATGTTCTTGGCCTCTCCCTTATACCAGCTTTCCTCTACAAACCTTTTTCTGCTCTGCCCGTGGGTCCCGTGTTAAGACGGCAGCTGGTGCCTGTGTTGTGGAAACAGTGTGAGCAGCTGGAGGCGCTGTTAACCCTCTCTGCCCTGGTGTTGTTCAGGAGATTGGCATGCTGTGTGTGCATGGAAAAAAGCAACCCAAGAAAGCTCCTCCTAAAGGCTGTGTGATGAAGATGAGAACTAACTAACTTCTTATGGATTTTCCAGGCTGACCTAAAAAGCGAGATGTGTGTCCTGGGTAAGCCTCCTCGCAGCCCAGTGATGTCTAAGAGATCCTGCGGCTCGCCTGTCAGAGGGCTCAGCAGTTCCCACAGGGTAGGGTCAGCATGCCCCCACCTTGAGCCAGACATCCTGACCACCCCTCCCAGGGGCTGGCTCTTCCTTCGTTGTCTTTGCTGTGAACTGGTCTCAAAGTAAGGCTGGAGACACCCTGGAGATGAAGTGACCTCCTGGTGATGGGCTTCCCTTTTAGGTGTACATGAGGTTTCCCAGATCCACAAAGACATGATCAGATTCCCTACTGTAAATAAGGGTGTCGTGTGTGTTGTGGTCCACATCTGTCTCATGGATCTACACGAAATCACTGCTTTCTAGTCCCCGTCTCTCCTGCAAAGAACGAAACTATTGCCAAGCATATGCAGTACTGAACTCACACACTTCCAGTCATGTTTGCTTCTGTGTCACTCAATTTGAATTTTTTTTAATCCATGGTTCTTGTCTAAAGTCTTCTGTTGCTCTAGTCGCGTGCACTACATTCTCTGGGTGCGCCGTTTCTGGATACGGGGGTACTGCTCTCTGGATTCTATCCACTTCCCATTTCTTGCCAGCTTTGATTGAACTTGAAGGTCAAATTACTTTCCCTTAGCTACTTAGTTCTATGATATCTACCGTGCTTTAAAAGACATGGACTCTAAATGGTACTTACTATAAATTCTAAGGAATGCAGCCAAGGAGTTTGGAAATATTCATCCAGACAGAAGTCAGGATTCCTTCCCCATCTCTGTTTTGGTGGACCCTGACTCCACCTTAACTGGTCCAACACTTAGCTACGCGTCTGCATTTCATGTTCTCAAGGGCTTGATTTCAAAGAAGTCTTCGTTTTTCATTTCTAAAAAAAAAGTAGATATTATTCTGTATTTATGCCACTTTGTGCTTTTTGCATTGCATGGGAAGCTCTCATTTTGTTGCTGAGGCAGAGTTTTGTGTTGCCATAGAGAGAGGAATGCCAATTTGTAGGATTCTTAGACTCTCCTAAATGGCCCTTGAGGGTCAAGGCAAAAAATAAGCTGCTTTCGCAATTAAGAGGACCCACCTATAAATTTCCTGTGGGTCCGTGAGATGGTATGCTTTTGTTCCCCTTAAGATTTTTTTTACCTGATTTTTACATCATGTATTTGTATGTCAGATTATGTGTGTGTTTGTGTGGACCATATTCTATTTTTTAGATTTCTGCAAAGTTATGTTTTACCTTCATAATTTAAGAAGGAAAAATAAGCCTATAAACATAAGCATGGTATTGCTATTAGGAGAATTTCACCTAATTCTGCTTAGCAAGTACTACAACTAATATTTTATGAAAAAAAATGACAAAAACACTTTAGCACTGCTTAGATTGCTTTCGGAGATTTTTCTGCATTAGTATTTAAAGTAACGGGCCATCCTTATTTAAGAATTATTTGATGCTAAATATAGCTAAGCCTCCAGAGATAACTGCAGAACCTTTGATAAATTAGATGGCTTTTCAACAGACTGTAGCTAAGATAGGAAAGGATACATTTTACTGATGTTAGAGACTCCATGATATTTCAAACCAGCTTCCTTATGAACAGTAACTTGTGATTGGGTCTAGCTTTGCAAATTAGCATGTGATTAGAACTTGTCTCTTTTGTATCCATTTTTGACAACATTAAAAAATAGCTACAGAAAAAATTATTTAGGGCTACAGAAAAAATACATATATTTAGGACACCATGAAAACAACATCATGCTTCATTGGATTTTCTCTTATTCTACTCTTAAGATTCATTAAGGAAATATAAGCATAATATAATTCTTGCTCAAAATAAATGTCCAGCACAGTGATTATGTCAGTCGAAAGCCATCTTTCTATGCTCCGTTCATGTAAGTCTCTCTGAATGTCACAAATGTATCTTGTTCTATATTTATCTTAAAACTGCCAAGAAGTTATGAGAAATGGAAATGCCTGCACAGATAGAACTGGACACAGACCAAAAATGCTGGTGGCTTACAAGGGATCCTTTCTCAAGAATATAAAATGTGAGAAGGGAAGAACATGGTTGGAAAAGTAGATGACTATCTATCCCACATCACTCTGTGGCCTTTATAATAGGCTCTTAAAATTAATCCAGGCTTGGGAACTTCGATAGAAAGGGGCGGATAAAGCAGAAACAAGTCTTAGCTTGTTGCTGCCACTGCTCACCACGAGGTGGCAGCAGAGTGCGGATGCATTAGCACCTACCTGAGGGTCAAAATTCAGAGGCTGATTTTAGCCAAGGTAGGTCAACTATTCCATCATAGTAAACTTTCATGCAACCAAGAGCTCACATCAAAATTACCATCTTGTTTCTTTTGTTTTGTTTACCTATTTGTCAGATTAAGAAATTATCCAGTATGTTTGGGTTCTGGTTTACTAACCTGCAAAATGGAGTTGAATTGTAACCATTATTTTTTTTACATGACTGAGATACATGAGAATTAACCAATTAACGTCAGTGTCACAGCTGTCTGACAACTGAGTGTGTAAAGCTGATGAGGACACCTTTACACAGCAGAGGAAATATCTGTAGAAATATGCATCCTTGGTGGAATCCCTGAGGGGACCTGATTAACCATCACCTTGTCCAACTCATTGATTTCAGAGATAGGGAAGGTGAGGGGCATCCCCAAGGTTATATGGTGGTTAACGCCCAAAACAAAAAAAGACACAGATGAGCCGTCACAAATAACTGTTCATGGTACTCATTCCCGACTAGTCAAACGTTTTAAGAATAAACTAATTCAAGTACTGTGATTAGACAGCTTTCTTGAAAACTGTCTTCTAGTTATCCACATTAATATGGAGGTGATTCTTGTTAAAGGTAAGCTTCAAAAAGTTCTAAAACTCACCGTTATAAGACACACACAGCTTCTCTGCTAAGAAAAGTCTGGGTTGATTCTGGCCACGGGATGTGAACAGTATAGAAAACTGATGATCTGTGGGTAAAAAGAGGGGCAGGGTTTGAAAGATATGAAGGAAGGGAAAAGAGATATTGGGAAACAGGTAGAAGCAAGGACGGGGGCCCGGTGTGGTGGCTCACGCCTGTAATCCCAGCACTTTGGGAGGCCGACGTGGGCAGATCACAAGGTCAAGAGATGGAGACCATCCTGGCCAACATGGTGAAACCCCGTCTCTACTAAAAATACAAAAATTAGCTGGGCGTGGTGGCACATGCCTGTAATCCCAGCTACTAGAGAGGCTGAGGCAGGGGAATCACTTGAACCAGGGAGGCGGAAGTTGCAGTGAGCCGAGATCATGCCACTGCATGCCAGCCAGGCGACAATGAGAATCTGTCTCAAAAAAAAAAATAGCCAGGACGGTGCTGGCTGCCACACACAGAAACAAACGTTTCCCAGCCATGGACGTGGGATCCAGGGAGCTGCACACTTGCAGCAAGCACCACATTTTCATAATGGTTGGCGAGACAGTTCATTTAAGTGATGAGGTGGGTCGAGTTACAGGAATGAAACAAGTAGAATTATAGTGGTGATAACTAAAAGGGATACACAGACTTCAGAAGTAGATTGTTTTATATTCATGAACAACTTGATTTTTAAAGTGGTATTCGCATTTTAACAAAAGAGCAATGAATGAAATAAGCAGTTATACAAAGCATCAGATGCCGTGAGGTAGAAGTTGAAACTTTGACTCACTTTTAAAATATTAAAATGGTTTCAGGTACACCAATTTTAGAGCATAATGAAATATATTTTATACATTTTCTCTTAAGAAGAAATATTATTTATAGCTATTATGCACTGCAAATGGTGCTACAATTGTTTTGGGGACAGTAGAAGCTACCTTGGGGTACGGTATGAAGTGTGGCATATCAGACATTTTCAAATTGCTTTTGAATACAGTATTTTTCAGTGACTAACATGGACATTTGCAAAACCATGTGGCTTTAATGCATATTCTTAGGCCAGAAATTTTACTCCTGGGAATATATTCTAAAGAATAGTTCAAAAGAAGGAAATAGCTCTTTGCATAAAAAATGTGTATAGCATTGCTATTTATGATAGTGGGAAAAAAGACCAGACCAACTCCAACTTCAAAACAAACTGTGATACGTGGACACACGTGGGAGAACGTGATTCTGCAGGCACTTAAAAGGAGAAAGAAGACTAAGGGAAAAAAAGACTGGAAAATTATTACAAAATAATACCAATGGCAGTTGATGTATGCAGATCCCACTTCTGCATGAAAGTTTTATACATGTATAAAGTTTTACTGGATTGGAAAAGAACTTTAAATAAGTAATGATACAGGCTTATCAATGACTTAGTTACCAGCTTATAGATTTAAATTGATTGAATAATATCTTGAATTAAATGACCTTTAAGATGGCTGGAAAATTGTTTAGTCATAATTTTTCTTAAAATATGAATATCTTCTAATTTTAATAAAGACACATTGTTAGTAGGCTTATATTGATGTGTAGGAGTAAACTATTTCACACTCTTAAGTCATACATGTGTCCGGTAATTCTTATGCAGTCTAGCTTTAAATATTCTATCCACAGACTGTTGAGTGAAGTTTCTAAGAATACTGTTAATAAAGGTTTCCAATTAATAGAGCCAAAGCTTCCAGTTTTAGTACTGTGAGTACCTAGTCTTATGCTAGACAGACACGTAGGATAGAAAGGGGGCAGATAAAGAATTTGGGAAGGGGATAATCATAGACTCAAAGACCAAAAGGAGCCTCAGGGTTATCCATCCAAGCTTGGACCAGTGGGGTTTCCATGGGCCATTTGCAGGAAGAGATTTCCATCCTCTCAGTAATCACTCATAACTATGGAAATCTAAGAACTGGTCCCAACGTCTGAGGACATGGATTTAACAGCTAATTCAGTAGTCATCAAACGTCACTTATATAATTGCCATGCAAATTCCGATTTTACCCTGTAGCTATTATTTAGAAGCAAATGCTTTTAAAATGTGTTATGATGTGTATGCATTTCTCCCCTAAAAGGTAAAGTTTAGGTAGTCAATATAAATTACAGAGTTTATATATTCAACAAACGTGTTAACTTTCATTCATTGAAATATTAATGTGGGTATATGGGATGCTAAGGCTTGTCATTTCCAATATTATAAGTATCTATTACAGATACTGGTCTTGATGCTTAGTTTAAAAAGAAAAGAAACTCTTTTGAGAGTTCAGTGCACTGGAAATTTCTACCAGTATTTCTCTTCTAAGGTAAAATGTTACATGTTACCTGGATATTGTTCGTTGCATTCCAAAGTTCTGTTTTCTCTTTTTAAAAATGCATGTGTTTTCTCCACATTGAGAACAGAGAATGTTCATTCCAGTGTAGCATGGGATGTCTGCTTATTGACATTTTCCTGTATACTGTATGTGAAAATGTTGTCTGTGAAGGAAAGGTTGAAAGAATGAATGTGGATACTTTGCTGTTAAACTAAATGTGGTTTATTTTCTGCTTGTTTGAGAAAACGCTGGAGACTAAGGTTGTATGAAGGTGTCTATACTTCCTATTCTAGTGGTTTGCTGTCTGTGTTCTTTTCCTATTCCTGGCCTTTGAAAAATCAGTGGGACTAAACCCCAACTTTTCCTTAAAGCTTGAGCAGACGAGATTGTAGACATGTTCGAAACATTTGACCTTGGTTATTTTACTTTAAAGCTCCCTTTAAATATTGTAATTATTAATCCTGCAGAAACCCTTTATTTTTTTCTTCCTTTTGGTTTTTTACAACAGGAAATATTAAATGTCAAGAAAAGTACCATGCCATTATCCAAATTATCTTTTAATTAGTACCAGTTTAAACATTGATTACATTGAAAATCATTTCATTTCAGCCACAGCGTCCTGTGTTTACTCATGAAAATATTCAAGGTGGGGGGGAACCGTAAGTATTCTTCTTATCTTCTAAATTCGAGACTAACCTTGACCCACAAAATGGACAACTGTACCAAAATGTCAGAGGGCACGGCTTTGCAAGTGAAAGACCCAAGTAACTAACATGAGGCCCCTGAATTACAAGAAATTGCAGGAGTCTCTTCTATGACAGTGATCAGAAATCTATTTTTAAAAGAACCCATAGTTCTCTGAGAAGATTTTAATTGAATCATAGGGAAACTTTCCAATGCTTCAGTGATTCCTAAGATGGATAATTCTGTCTCCCTCTCTGCTTTGCTGGCTGTGTAACAAAGGCTTATAGAAAATGGTCTAACCTTGTTTTCACCCCTCTGGGAGGCAGTAAAAGAGGACCTAAATGTAAAAAAGACCTAAAGTGATGTTAATAATGTAATTCCAAAGTTATATGCTTGGAAGAGTCATTTGAAAATGGCAGTATTAAAACACTGTTACTCAGTTACATGCTGTTACTTCCACAGCACCAGGAAAATGCCTTTTCAAACTTTCCTTTCAAATTTCCTCTCCTTTCTGATACATGAGTTAAGCCAGCCTGAAGGTGTCACACGTTGTCTTGAAGATTCTCTCTGTGTGTTTCTTTTTCGGGCCCATTTTGTCCCAGAGAGATGTTCAGGAGTTATCAACTTCCTGTTGGCTACTGCCCACACTGAGTCAAGCATGAGACCCCAGGGAAGGCTCATTCATGGACCTAAACTTCGTCCAGCACATCTAGCACACGCTGGGGATCCTGACCCACTGCCCTCACTCTGCTGGCCTGGAGCAGAACAGGCTAACCAAAGCCTCCTCCTTGTGGGAGGTCCTGGAGGTGGCCTGGTGCCTTTGTCACCATCAAGTCCTTCCTTGCTCCCCACAGACCTGAAACTCAGCAAAAAGAATCTGCAGACGAGACTGTTTCTCACGGAGTACAGCCAGAAAGGTGTTATTGGTGAGGGCAAGTCTGTACTTTGGAAAGAACAGGTTACAAGTGATCATCATTTAGAATCTCACTTAAGGCTAGGTGCAGTCACTCATGCCCGTAATCCCAGCACTTCAGGAGGCCAAGGCCCAGGAGTTCAAGACCAGCCTGGGCAACATAGCTAAACGCCATCTCTACAGAAATAAAAACAAAATATTAGGTGTGATGGCATGCAGCTGTAGTCCAGCTCCTCAGTAGGCCGAGGTGGGAGAATCACTTGACCCAGGGAGGTTAAGGCTATAATGAGCCATGATTATGGCACTGCACTCCAGCCTGGGAAACAGAGCAACACCCTGCCTCAAAAAAAAAAAAAAAAAAAAAAAAAAAAAAAAGTTTGCTTAATTGGAAAACACTAAAAATGACTTATAATTCTCAAGTTTTTGTTTGTTCTCTTATTTACCCAAACGAGAATAAGATCACATTATAAAAAATAAATTTAAGGGCTGCTTAGGTTTATTGCATTACCAATATATTATATCAAACAGCTTTTAAAGTGTTTATGAATGAAAGATAGGTTACATTTTCAAAGTCCTGATTTGTATATTATAAAACATTGTTTATTAAATGTATATTTGATTATAGCCTGAATTCGAGATTTTAGGGTGTTGCTTAGTTGCTTTCATTTAAAAATGTTTTTTTTTTTCTTCTGAGACGGAGTTTCACTCTTGTTACCCAGGCTGGAGTGCAATGGCGCAATCTCGGCTCACCGCAACCTCCGCCTCCTGGGTTCAGGCAATTCTCCTGCCTCAGCCTCCTGAGTAGCTGGGATTACAGGCACGCACCACCATGCCCAGCTAATTTATTTGTATTTTTAGTAGAGGCGGGGTTTCACCATGTGAGCCAGGATGGTCTCGATCTCTTGACCTTGTGATCCACCCGCCTCGGCCCCCCAAAGTGCTGGGATTACAAGCGTGAGCCACTGCGCCCGGCCTAAAAATAAGTTTTGAGCAAAAGTAGGAACATAATATTTTGTGACTGCAATTCAGGGTTTTAGTGAAATATATGCTAGAAAAAGTGCAAGTTACAGAGAGGGCCTCCAGTTGGGCTCAGCATTTCCTGATTAAAAGACACATTTCTTTTGGAGGCATCCTTACCACACCATCATCATTCATCTCACCAACACATCTCAGGACAGCGTTTTTTAAAACTGTGATTCGACTCCATTTCCTGTCACACAGCACTGACTTTGAAAGCTGGCAGAGGCAGGAGGATTTCCTGAAGGTGTGTTTATGTTTCCATAAAACTCCTTGGGTTCGGTTTTGTTTTGTTTTTGTTTTTGTGGCCTAATTAAACCAGAATGGTAAATAAATTTGGACAGACATGTTGGCTTTCATCCCACAAAAATGAAGGAGTCTGTGCCAATCTTGTTGCGTTAGCTCTGAGACCTTGAGATTCTTTCCAGCAGCTGGGGCTAGCAGCCTTGGGTAACTGGTCTCCATGAGTGGCTGGAGATGAGCCTGGGCAGGGTTCAAGCCAGAGAATCTCAATAAAAGAATCAGTTTTCCCAAAGTGAGAGGTGCTGTATATACCCACCAGAACAGCAGCCCAGGAATGACCAATCTGTCTCAAATGTGAAATTGGAAAAAGGACCATGAACTTTCCCCCAGAGATAGACAAAAGGTATCACCCCTTCACCTGAGCAGCCTCCAAATCAAATTCTTAACACAAACAACCAGATGAATTGACTCCCTCTACTAAAGCTGCCCGCATGCAAACATCCAAATCAGGTGTGTTTGTGGACGCCACAGCTCCGTCTTTTTGGCCACTGCTCTGGGATGCTAGCTGCCTTTCTCTGTCCTTCCCCATAATCACAAACCCCTCTCTCAAGAAAAGGCCTCAGAAGCCCATGCTCAAAAGAATGTAAGTGGCTATAAGGTTTACTGGAAGGATGAAGTTTTAACAGGGAAGAAACCTCTAATGTTGAAATTTCAGGCTTTGGTGCCAGGGCAGGGAAAACCATGTTTTCTAGGGAATGGTGTTAGGCACCCCTTCTTCTCACCTCTTTCCTAGAACCCTTGAAGCCGACTCTATCCAGTTCCCCCAATCCAAGTGGTGGATGAACAGGCGAAGCCAGTGGGTCACTGTTGCTATCATTAGATTTGAGTTCAAAGGATAGTTTTGTTCTACCAAAATATGATTTTCTGACTCATAAAGTAATTAAAAATAAATCATTCTGGTTCCAGAGCAGTAGTCAAGATTATGAACTTTTTTAAGTTTCCATTAAAAAATCTAAAATATCTTAGAATGTAGTTATTATTTTCTCATATTAGCAGAATAACATGACTGTTTCAAAAAGCAGTAGAAACAAATTCCTAATTTTTAAAAATCCCCCTCACAGTACTAGTAATATTTTAGTACTATTATGAAGAAGTTTTCATGTTAATTCCATGTTAAATTCTTCTTCACCTTCTCAGCTACAGTAATTTCTGCCTTCATTTTCCAAAGATACTAATCCATGTTACTATTTATTGTAATGTATGCTATTTTCTTACCACAAATTCAGCGTCTGAATGCATTATTGATCAATGTTACCACAGTATATGCTGTCAAAGAATTCAGGCAGGGAAAGGAAAATGGTAGCATTCTATTAATAATTCTTTTTTATATAAAATCATTTCAAGAGAGAATTTTAAAATAAAATACAATTTCTCCAGGACTCATTTGAAGCAGAGACTTATGTCCATAATCTGTTTGAAATTGTCTCAGTAATAACGGCACATAGAATACATCTACTCAACTTCATAGGCTAATTACATCAAATGTTCCAATACTGCATCCTCAGAAAACACAGAACGAAACTATTAAACTGATTTAAAGAATTCCTCTTGGTAAAAAAAAATGATTGTCCTTTGTAGAGTAATTCACATATAGTGATTTAAAAGACATGTCTGAGACACTTTGTCTGTTTCAATTTAGAATCTTGGAAAATTCAATTCCCAAGCTGCAATTGTTTGCTTCTGATTATGGCTAGCCAAAATTGTGATTCCGTCTTGTTTTTAAACGGTTAAATAATGCAAATATCACTTATATTTTGTACTATTATTGAATGTCTGAATGACAGACCTTAGATGGCTGGACAATTGAAATGCAGGTCTGACTTATAAATGTTAAAATATTTTAATCCAATTTATGAGTGTTACAATTCTCATGAACATTCCTCGTGAGTTTCAAAATGTTGTTAGAGTGGTCTAACGCCTGTGAAGGTCTAAATATTGCTATTTACATGTTTACCAGACATGTGCCACCCAATATAATATTGTTCATATTGTTAAGAATAGGAATGTTAAAGGTAGAATGAATATTGTTCTATATTTCACAAAGCTGTCAAGACTTTTATAAACACATTCCTTTGTCCTGTTTAAGGTTTCAGGCTCTGTATAACTATACTCCTAGGAACGAAGATGAGCTGGAACTCAGAGAAAGTGACGTCATTGATGTGATGGAAAAGTGTGATGATGGCTGGTTTGTGGGTATGTGCACTTTTTCTTCAGAGACATTTGGCTATTTTGTAATTTGCTTGAGTTTGCTCACTTGCGTGGTTTGCTGTGATAGCCAAGCTTCCTTTGAATTCATGTCCTTCATCTTTCAGACGTTCATATGCACCATGTAATCCCAAGGCTATTGCATTTTATTTTTTTTATTGCCTTTTAGGTTTTGGGGTACATGTGAAGAACATGCAAGACTGTTGCATAGGTACACACATGGCAGTGTGATTTGCTGTCTTCCTCCCCATCATCTATATCTGGCATTTCTCCCCATGCTATTTCTCCCCAACTCCCCACCCCCCGTTGTCCCTCCCCTATTTCCCCCCCGAAAGAACCCAGTGTGTGATGCTCTCCTCCCTGTGTCCATGTATTCTCATTGCTCAACACCCGCCTATGAGTGAGAACATGCAGTGTTTGATTTTCTGTTCTTGTGTCAGTTTGCTGAGAATGGTGGTTTCCAGATTCATCCATGTCCCTACAAAGGACACAAACTCATCATTTTTTATGGCTTCATAGTATTCTATGGTGTATATGTGCCACATTTTCCCTGTCCAGTCTATCATAAATGTGCATTTGGGTTGGTTCCAGGTCTTTGCTATTGTAAACAATCCTGCAATGAACATTTGTGTGCATGTGTCTTTATAGTAGAACGATTTATAATCCTTTGGATATATACCCAGTAATGGCATTGCTGGGTCAAATGGAATTTCTATTTCTAGATCCTTGAGGAATCGCCACAGTCTTCCACAATGGTTGAACTAATTTTACTCCCAGCAACAATGTAAAAGTGTTCCTATTTCTCCACATCCTCTCCAGCATTTGTGGTCTACAGATTTTTAAATGATCGCCATTCTAACTGGTGTGAGATGGTATCTGAATGTAGTTTTGATTTGCATTTCTCTAATGACCAGTGGTGATGAGCATTTTTTCATGTTTGTTGGCCTCATGTATGTCTTCTTTTGTAAAGTGTTTGTTCATATCCTTCGCCCACTTTTGAATGGGCTTATTTTTTTCTTGTAAATCTGTTTTAGTTCTTTGTAGATTCTGGATATTAGCCCTTTGTCAGATGGGTAGACTGCAAAAATTTTTTCCCATTCTATTGGTTGCCGATTCACTCTAATGATTGTTTCTTTTGCTGTACAGAAGCTGTGGAGTTTCATTAGGTCCCATTTGTCTATTTTGGCTTTTGTTGCCAATGCTTTTGGTGTTTTGGTCATGAAGTCCTTGCCTATGCCTATGTCCTGAATGGTTTTGCCTAGATTTTCTTCTAGGGTTTTTATGGTGTTAGGTCTTATGTTTACGTCTTTAAGCCATATGGAGTTAATTTTAGTGTAAGGTGTCAGGAAGGGGTCTAGTTCTGCTTTCTGCACATGGCTAGCCAGTTTTCCCAACACCATTTATTAAACATTTCCTTTCCCCATTGCTGGTTTTTGTCAGGTTTGTCAAAGACCGGATGGTTGTAGATGTGTGGTGTTGCCTCTGAGGCCTCTATTCTGTTCCATTGGTCTATATCTCTGTTTTGGTACCAGTACCATGCTGTTTTGATGACTGTAGCCTTGTAGTATAGTTTGAAGTCAGTTAGCATGATGCCTCCAGCTTTGTTCTTTTTGCTTAAAATTGTCTTGGCAATGCGGGCTCTCTTTTGGCCCATATGGAGTTTAAGGTGGTTTTTTCCAGTCCTGTGAAGAGGACCATAGGTAGCTTGATGGGATAGCATTGAATCTGTAAATTACTTTGTGCAGTATGGCCATTTTGACAATATTGATTCTTCCTAACCATGAGCATGGAATGGTTTTCCATCTGTTTGTGTCCTCTCTTATTTCCTTGAGCAGTGATTTGTAGTTCTCCTTGAAGAGGTCCTTTTACATCCTTTGTTAGTTGTATTTCCAGGTATTTTATTCTCTTTGCAGCAATTGTGAATGGGAGTTCCCTCTTGATTTGGCTCTCTTTAAGTCTGTTATTGGTGTATAGTAATGCTTGTGATTTTTGCACATTGATTTTGTATCCTGAGACTTTGCTGAAGTTGCTTATCACTTTCAGGAGATTTTTGGCTGAGATGATGGGGTCTTCTAGATATACAATCATGTCATCTGCAAATAGAGACAATTTAATTTCCTCCTTTCCTATTTGAATACCCTTTATTTCTTTTTCTTGCCTGCTTGCTCTGGCTAGAACTTCTAGTACTATATTGAATAGGAGTGGTGAGAGAGGGCATCCTTGTCTAGTGCCAGATTTCAAAGGGAATGCTTCCAGTTTTTGCCCATTCAGTATGATATTGGCTGTGGGTTTGTTGTAAATAGCTTTTATTATTTTGAGATATGTTCCATCAATACCTAGTTTATTTATGGTTTTTAGCATAAAGGGCTGTTGAATTTTGTCAAAGGCCTTCTGTATCAATTGAGATAACCATGTGGTTTTTGTCTTTGGTTTTGTTTATGTGGTGAATTACTTTTATAGACTTGCTTATGTTGAACCAGCCTTGCATCCCCGGGATGAATCCTACTTGATTATGGTGGATAAGCTTTTTGATATGCTGTTGCAATCTGTTTGCCAGGATTTTATTGAAGGTTTTTGCATCTACGTTCATCATGGATATTGGCCTGAAGTTTTCTTTTTTGGTTGAATCTCTGCTGGGTTTTGGAATCAGGATGATGTCGGTCTCATAAAATGATTTGGGAAGGATTCCCTCTTTTTGGATTGTTTGGAATAGTTTCAGAAGGAATGGTACCAGCTCCTCTTTGTATGTCTGGTAGAATTCGGCTGTGAACCTGTCTGGACCTGGGCTCCTTTTTTGGGTGGTAGGCTCTTAATTGCTGCCTCAACTTCTGTCCTTGTTATTGGTCTATTCAGGGTTTCTACTGCTTCCTGGTTTAGGCTTGGGAGGATGCAAGTGTCCAGGAATTTATCCATTTCTTCCAGGTTTACTAATTAATATGCATAGAGTTGTTTGTAATAATCTCTGATGATAGTTTGTATTTCTGTGGAAACTGTGGTGATATCCCCTTTATCGTTTTTTATTGCATCAATTTGGTTATTCTCTCTTTTCTATTAACCTGCCTAGTGGTCTATTTTGTTTATCTTTTCAAAAAGCCAGCTCCTGCATTTATTGATTTTTTGAAGGGTTTTTTTTTGTCTGTCTCCTTCAGTTCTGCTCTGATCTTAGATATTTCTTGTCTTCTGCTAGCTTTTGAGTTTTTTTGATCTTGCTCCTCTGGCTCTTTCAATTTTGACGATAGGGTGTCAATTTTAGATCTTTCTTTGCTTCTCATGTGTGCATTTATTGCTATGTATTTTCCTCTAGACACTGCTTTAAATGTGTCCCAGAGATTCTGGTATGTTGTGTCTTCATTCTCGTTGGTTTCGAAGAACATCTTTGTTTCTGCTTTCATTTCATTGTTTATCCAGTCAACATTCAAAAGCCAGTTGTTCCATTTCCATGAAACTGTGCAGTTCTGAGTTAGTTTCTGAATTCTGAGGTCTAACTTGATGCACTGTGGTCTGAGAGACTGTTATGATTTCCATTCTTTTGCATTTGCTGAGGAGTGATTTACTTCCAATTATGTGGTCAATTTTAGAGTAGGTGTGATGTGGTGCTGAGAAGAATGTATATTCTGTGGATTTGGGGTGGAGAGTTCTGTAAATGGTCGAGGTCTGAGTTCAAGTCCTGGGTATCCTTGTGAATTTTCTGTCTCATTGATCTGTCTAATATTGACCATGGGTGTTAAAGTCTCCCACTATTATTTTGTGGGAGTCTAAGTCTCTTTGTAAGTCATTAAGAACTTGCCTTGGCCGGGCGCGGTGGCTCAAGCCTGTAATCCCAGCACTGTGGGAGGCCGAGGCGGGTGGATCACGAGGTCAAGAGATCGAGACCATCCTGGTCAACATGGTGAAACCCCGTCTCTACTAAAACTACAAAAAATTAGCTGGGCATGGTGGCGCGTGCCTGTAATCCCAGCGACTCAGGAGGCTGGGGCAGGAGAATTGCCTGAACCCGGGAGGCGGAGGTTGCGGTGAGCCGAGATCGCGCCATTGCACTCCATCCTGGGTAACACGAGCGAAACTCCGTCTAAAAAAAAAAAAAAAAAAGAACTTGCCTTATGTATCTGGGTGCTCCTGTATTGGGTGTGTATATATTTAGGATCATTAGATCTTCTTGTTGCATTGATTCTTTTACCATTATGTAATGTCCTTCTTTGTCTCTTTTGATCTTTGTTGGTTTAAAATCTATTTTATCAGAGACAAGAATTGCAACTCCTGCTTTTTTTTTTCTCTCTCTCTCTCTCTCCATTTGCTTGGTAAATCTTCCTCCATCCCTTTATTTTGAGTCTTTGTGTGCATCCTCGCATGTGAGATGGGTTTCCTGGATACAGCGCACTGATGGGTTTTGGCTTTTTATCCAATTTGCCAGTCTGTGTCTTTTGATTGGGGCATTCTGCCCATTTACATTTAGGGTTAAAATTGTTATGTGTGAATTTGATCCTGCCATTTTGATGCTAGCTGGTTGTTTTACCCATTAGTTGATGTAGTTTCTTCATTGTGTTGATGCTCTTTACCGTTTGGTATGTATTTGGAGTGGCTGGTACTGGTTGTTCCCTTCTATGTTTAGTACTTATTTCAGGAGCTCTTGTAAAGCAGGCCTGGTGGTGATGAAATCTCTGAGTACTTGCTTGTTTGTAAAGGATTTTATTTCTCCTTCACTTATGAAGCTTAGTTTGGCTGGATGTGAAATTCTGGGTTGAAAGTTCTTTTCTTTAAGGATGTTGAATATTGGCCCCCCCACTCTCTTCTGTCTTGTAGAGTTTCTGCTGAGAGATCCGCTTTGAGTCTGATGGGCTTCCCTTTGTGGGTAACCCGACCTTTCTCTCTGGCTTCCCTTAGCATTTTCTCCTTCATTTCAACCCTGGTGAATCAGATAATTATGTGCCTTCAGGTTGCTCTTCTTGAGGAATATCTTTGTGGTGTTCTCTTTATTTCCTGGACTTGAA